CTCCATTCATGTGTTCTTCCCGTACATCTTGGCCCATGCCCTACCCAACCCACCCTTGACCCGCCCCCTCCAACTGGCTCTTCAGGTGATTCCGAATTTCCGGACAGACAGACAGACAAACAGACAAACAGACGTTGCCGTTTATATATAGTAGGATAGGATTACTTCTAACAGTTAGAACTACTTAGCTATAATAACACGTACTGGAATTATACAATTACTTAGTTTTTTTCCGCTTTATTTGTAGATATATGTTGCAGAGTTTAAGAACCGTTTTAATTCGTTGTTTGGCTTTGTTATGTTTGGTGAACTTTTTTCATGAAAAAAAAACAGGAATACGTCTATGAAGTGGCGAGCTTATAGAACTTCTTCATGTGACTCTTCACTCCACTTCACTTCTTCATTTAGCTTAACATCGTTTTACGGATTTAATAACATGAACTGGTTTCCAGTATAAAACGTTTTCTCACTGAATGTCGTTATAAAATTGGCTGGAATTACCTGTTTTTGGAGCATAGGCCACATTTTCGTCCCGATCTTTCGCTTGGAGAAGGATGCTTTTACTGTTGTCATGAAGGGCAGGCTAAATGCTCACCTGTGATGTTGGTTTTTCTTACGGACTAGGTGTGCGGGTCCGCACTATAGAAGGGTTTTATTGCCACTTGAAAAAGCGTGGAAGTGAATCTAGAAGTTTGGCTGAAGCGTCTTGCAGCGTCCTTCAGCGACCGGGAGTAAAAGTAAAGTATGGAGAAGTAATAGGGTAGAGAACAGCTGGATTAGGCGGCGTGAAATTGCGGCGTGTGCAGCCGCACCGTGCCGCTGCTTAAGCATAGAATTATGCAATTTAATGTACCATGTAGTGTAGTTGTAGAATCTGGCGTCTGCCAGCGTCCACCAGCGTTCAAATGGTAGCTGGAAGACGGTGGCAGACGTAGATCGGTAACTACATTTCCCTAGCCCCCGAGATGCCAGCAGACGCTGGTGGACTCTGGCAGTCGTTGGATCGATTACTCGCTGACGTTGCTGGACGCTCGAAACGCTAGTGGACGCTGGTAGGCGCTGGTGGACGCTGCTGCAAAGTATCAACGCAGCCTCATGTTTGGCAGCCGCTGTTCTCTCAGTACTTCTGGACGTGCATGTAAGAGCTGGATAGCAGTTGAAAAAAATGGACACACAGCTACCACACCCCTCGAGCTCTACTGCCGCACATTCTAAGTGAGAGAAATGGTCCTTCTACAGCAGGGGACCTTGCTTGCTTACGAATATGAGCAGCCTTGGGTAAGCGCAGAGTGTTTCATAATTAACAGTCATCGACAAGGCACAGCATCACGATGTGTGAAATGGGAGTGTAGGTACGATCTCCCCACCCCTCCGAGAGGGGTATCAGTACGACCCCCCCCCCTCTTCCCCAACACCTTCCTACCAAATTCCACATTTTCCAGTCCTGTTTTATCCAGAAATTTCCGGTCGAGCCGGCTTGGGTATACAGTACACAACAGGCAAAATCACGCGAAAAGTCAATAAACAGGAAAAAGTTTTTCTCAACGCAGCAAACTAAAGACGCTCTTCTCTCAAAGGCACATACGACCCCCTCTGTCCCAACGACCTAGTACGACCCTCCCCTCCCCCCCCCCCCCAGCGGAAAGGTACGACCCCTCTATGTGTTTCACACAACGATGCTGTACCTTGGTTATTAAAGTGCCGCTGCTGTAACAAGGAGAATCCACGCGCCTTGTGAGTGAGATCCTGCGGTACTGCTGGCAAATGTGGCTCATGCCCCTAAAAATGATGTGTATCATGGAAAAGTTTGTCAAAGTTCGGATGTAGATTTGTGTGCAACACTGGTAATAAAATCTACACACGACGGCGAAAGGGAGGTTCTTGAAGGTCAACAAATATACAGTCCTCATCATTGCGGACCGGTGGGGCGTGTCAGTGCGGCTGCGTTTGGCGCGGTGCCAAAGTCGTTCTGCACCAGTTGTTGAAGCGGGCAAGTGACATTACTGTATTATATCCTTCGTATTACTCGTTTTCTACCACTTTTTGTCGCATACGCGTTTCAACAAAAAGGCTGAGAACGGTGTGCACACTCATACTGGCTGACACGCCCCACCGGTCCGCAATGATGAAGACTGTATGTCGTCGACGATGACCGCTTTATCAAATAACCGTCGCGCTCCTCATCCTTGAGTAGACTCCAGGAAACGGAGCAGAACTGTATACGTGTACTGTGCTGCTTTCTACATTTAGCAAGCGCAGGGAACTGTATTCAGCCCCCCCCCCCCTGCCTCACGATAATTATTGCCACTGAACCAACTCAATCATATAGAAGGGTCAAAACTCAGTTCTCAACACCCTTATTGGTTAGGATATGGCGGATTGAGGCGGAGATGGTGTAGTGACAAGTGGGGCGCTCACCATTCGCGCGGTCCCGGGTTCGAATCCCGGGTCGACTCCCGCCCAGGCCAACCAAGCCTTCTACCCTCCGGGGACGGTGAATTGGTACCAGATTCGTCTGGGAGGATAAAACACTGACTTGTACATCGGCTGGCCACCGCAAGTCATTGTATAGGCCACATCGCATTCAATAAGCCACTACGATTCTGAATGGAAGTAGAATGCGTGCCGCATCCCACAAAGGGATTGATCAACGGCGAAGACTTTATCCTTTATCCTTTTATGGCGGATGAACGCACTTATGGAGAGGAAACTTTATTAGTAAGTATGACGCTTCTAATTAAATTATACATCAACTATACTTATTATACAATTATAGATGGCATTTAATTCACAATAATTTGTCATAACGGTGAAGTGTTAGTTGTACAGCTGGGTATTCGCCTCCTGAAAGCGACCTGAGGCAGCATTAATACTTTGCGGCAGCGTCCAAGAGCGACCCCTAGCGTCCGGCAGCGTCAGCGACTAGGAAAGTATAGATATCGATCTGGCGTCTAGCGTCTAACAGCGCCTGCTAGCGACCAGCAGCGCCTCGAGGGCTAGGTAAGTATAGGTATCAATGCGTTTGCCAGCGTTCTCAGCGTCCACCAGCGACTAGCAGCAGGCTGCTGGTAGAGATTATCAGGCGATAGGAGAATACCAGCTGTCTCTGCATCTATCGCGCCACAGTCTCTAATGGCAGTCTGCTACATTTCCACCTACCCATACTCTACCAGCTGTCTGCTACCCTCTTATCGCCACGTACTCTACTCTCCCAGACGCTGCTGGTCGCTCGTAGACGCTAGTAGATGCTGGCAGACGGCAGGCGCGGGATCAATATCTATGCTTTCCTAGTCGCTGAAGCTGCTAGACGCTCGGAGCCCTGGAGGACGCTATTGGTCGCTGGTGGATGCTGCTGCAAAGTATGAATGCAGCCTGAAGAAGTCGTAGTCAAATTGTTGAACCTGTTTGTGAGGGAATTTCGCCTGAATCATTGACCACAATGTGCCTGAAAATGAATTATAATTCTAATTTTTTCAAACCCAGTTTTCACAATTTCGATGTGAGGATGTATGAGCGGGTTTTCACTTGAAGTCGACTAGAACGACCAGCAAGTGAATAGCATGCAGCGACGTCTCTTGGGCTAATGCCGTTTGGACTCCAGAAATTTCGGCTCCGAGCTCATTTTCAAATTGCCTAAGCCACCAAATCCACTAAAAACTTGTATATAGGGGTAATTCAACATCCTGATTACGAGTATGACACTCATTCTTGGCGCTGGCGCCAAGAGAGGACACTACGATTACCTCCTGGGCTCAGCCTTAGCAGAGCGCAGGTAACCGTAGTGTCATCCATTAGCGCCAGCGCCAAAAATGAATGTCATATTCGTGATCAGGATGTTGAATTACCCCTATATACAAGTTTTTAGCGGATTTGGTGACTTAGGCAATTTGAAAATGAGCTCGAAGACGAAATTTCTGGAGTCCAAACGGCATTAGCCCGCCTCTTGTGGGGAACTGGTTGTGGCGTAAATTTCGTGCACCTCACCCAACGTGGGCACCATGATTGATGTGCGACCTCAGCTACTTGAATAGGGGTTAGAAGAAATTAGATGGCTGGCGCGTTGTATAAGGGATGCTGAAGTGGTTCTGCGCTCTACAAACCAATGCTATGATCGATGTTGGGGAGTGCTGCGGTCAGTGCTGATGCTTGGACATGGGCATATCCAAACTTGTCCTGAAAAGCTTTAGTGCGGAAACAATAGCGCTACTCTGAAGCTGTGGCGTGTACCTAGCTGTACATATAACATCACGAGATCGAAATTAGAGACGAAGCTATTCAATATCACAGTATGCGCTGCACAACTTACAAAAATATATACACTCATTATCATTGAAACAGAGTGAAGTGTTTATAGTTTGTAGGGCTGCGTTCCATGCTTTGCGGGAGCGTCCACCGGCGTCTACTAGCGT